TTTATATCCACTTTTTGACCATGAAAAATGGATGATTTTCAATGCAAGGATAACAAGGTAAACCGTGCATTAGTTTTGAAAAAGCATGACAGAAATATTCAGTCCAAACACATCAGTGAGAATGTTTTGGTAAGTTTAGTTCCTGTGGTTGTGGAGCTAACATGACAACCCTGACAAACGGCATCTTTCATGGACGACAGTGATAGACTGAGGTTTTTCAAAAACAAGAAAAAAGTACTGTGGTCATGTAGAAGTAGGCGGTATGATCATAATATGAGTAGTTTAATATCACCTAACAGTATATGTCATGATATAGTTGTTTTTGTTGAACATTTGATTGAAAATGGTTTATATATTGTACAACTATGTGGTGCAGTGCTTACAGTATCTAATAATCTGATGAATTAAATACTTTACAAATGCAAGCTACTTTGATTATTTTCTCATTTTATTTGCAACTTGAAGGACCAAACATTTATTTATATAACCAGAAGATTATTCATAACAAATGAATGAATAAGTCTGGCATCAGTACAAAAACAGCTTCACATTATGTAACACTTCAGTTAAAAACGAATTAATTAGAATAGTGAAGCTAATATTATAAAACTGATAGTTCTGGCTCTAAATTATGTTTGGTGTGGTATAAATGGTATAAATAATATAGCATAAACCATATATACTGTCATACCATCATAATACTATAGTACTTTGATTAGCCTACCTTAACCTTGATATTACAATGGTACATGTTCAAATAAAAAATAGGGTATTTCCATTGTGCTGTACTAAAATATCATGATACTTTCTAAATATAATCATTCAGTATATATAAACTATAGTTTAGTGTAAGTTTTAGCTAGCTTTATGCTGTTATTGTCATTTTATTATTTTTTAATTGTTAGCTTCAATTTATATTTATTTCAGTTTTAGTCATTTTAGTACTTCAAACTTTTCAATTTTTTATGTTTAATTTAAAATGGTTGGTAACACTTTCTATGAAGCCTGTATTTATAATACATTATAAAGGTATTCGTAAGCCATTATAATGAATGCATAAAGCATTATAAAAAAACTTATAATATGTTGTATCATCTCATGAATATTCATAAGAACAGTTTTAATATATTATAATATTTACTTATTTGTGGTTATAGCTTTTAAGAGTATGATGATTTATAACACAATGAACACGTTGCATCCACTTTTACAATGGATTATATTTCTCATAGTTATAATGTATTATAAGTCTCATATCTTGCCATTTTTCTTATGCTACTTTACTTAAAGCGGTCAAAGACCACTTATAAGTAGTAATAATAATAATCAAAATTTCTCTCAAACAGCCTTAAAATCAGATCAGATGAATGTGTGACACATTTGCTTTGAACAATTTTTATTGTAATATCAGTTTGATTATTTTGATGGTACCCTTTAGACAGCTGTTGATAAGTAACTCTGCAGCCAACTGCATGTCAACTAGCAGTCATTGGAGTATTAGTAGTATGTCTGCTAAATATATGCTAACACTTTATTTTGATTGTTCCCCAACAGATATAAGTAACTTTGCAAGTACGTCAACATTCTTCCTACCTTAACCTAAGCCTACTAATACTCTAATGAGAGTTAGTTGACTTGTAGTTGCAAAGTTGCTTATAGTTGATAGACTAAGGGGGACCATCAAAATAAAATGTAACCTAACATATAAACATTGCATTTTTTTCAGTTTAAATTATTAACTAGCTCACATCAAAATTAATATTAGCCTCACAGTGAACACTCAAATAACACTCCACACCTAACCACTTACAAGATGTAAGATACTGTGCAGATCTTAAATAAACAATGTCAAGATATATAGTCCATTATAAATGTAAAGGTAGGTTTAATATGGTGTTCATTGTGTTATAAATAATCATAATCTGAAAAGTTATAACCACAAATGCATAAGCATTATAATGTATTATAATTGTTGTTATGATTATTTATAAGATGATATAACATAT